TGAACCTACTCTCTAAAGCACTGATTAAGCGAGGGAGTATCCGCTATACACACATACAAATGACCGATGCGACTCCGCGACTCGCTTGACGCTTGGGTGTGTATGTCGTGTGTGTGGTGTAAGTGTGTGTGTCTCCTAACGAAAAATCATCACAGGACTAACTAGAAAATAGCTTGCGGCGAGGGCGGCGGGTCGGTGGCGCGTAAGTATCTCGATTAACAAGAACAAGAACGAGACAATGGTCATCGGCTGGCGCGCCGCAGCGCGGCCGCGAGGGAGGAGACAGACGACGACGACGGCGGCGACGAGGAGGGCGAAGACGAGGGCGACGGCGACGAGGAGGCCGCGGCGGCGGCGGCGGCGGCGGCGGCGGCGAGGCTGGCACCGCGCCGCAGCAGCCGCAGCAGCCGCGCGAACGGGTGGCGGTGCGGCGGCGGCGGCGGCGCCGGGCCCGCGGGGCCACCGGCGCGGGCGGGCCGGCGCGCCCGGCCGCGCCGCGGGCCGGCTCAGTGGTGCGCGTGCGGGTGGGCGTGCGGGCTGGGCTGCGGCGGCGCGTGGGCCGCCTGCTGCGCCGCCTGCTGGGCCGCTGCGACCGCGGCGTGCGTGGCGGCCGCGGCGCCCTCCTCGTCGGTCGCCGGCAGGTCCACGGGGCTCGGCGACAGGAACTTGCGCACGTACTTTGGGTAGTGGGTCTTCTCGTGGGCCTTGAGGATGGTCGACCTGGAGAAGGTCTTGCCGCAGAGCGAGCAGCGAAAGGGCCGCTCGCCCGTGTGCACGCGGCAGTGGTCCTTCATGTGGTGGCGCAGCTTGAAGGCCTTGCCGCAGAACTCGCACTTGAAGGGCCGGTCGCCCGTGTGCGCGGGCAGGTGGCTGATCAGCGAGCCCACGTCGGGGAAGGACTTGCCGCAGAACTTGCAAAGCACCACGCCGGAGCCGGGCTCGGCGTGCACGGCCGAGGCCAGCGAGTCGAGCTCCATGGGCTCGCAGGCGCCGACGCCGACGCCGACCGCGACCGCGCCGCCGAGGCCCGCGCCGGCGCCCGGGCCCCCGACCACCCCCGCGGCGACCGGCGACCCGTAGTGGCCGGCGGCCGCCGCCGCCGCCACCGCCGCGGCCTCCGCGCTCGCGGCCAGGTGCAGGCCCGAGGCCGCGGCCTCGAGGCCCAGCTGCGCCTGCAACTGCAGGTGGGCGGCCGCCTGCTCGCGGTACTTGAGCGACTCGAGGCTGTGCGAGAGGATGTGCCGCGTCAGCTTGCTCTGGTGGAGGAACGAGGCACCGCAGTACATGCACGCAAACACCCGCTCATCCATACCCATCAACTCCTGCAACACCAAACAACAATTAAGAACATCAACTTCTTGCTATCGCCAGTTGCCATTTCCCGTTTGGCTTTCTTTTCCGAATGCTTCTTTTCTTTTCTCGCCTCGATTTGTCTCTGCTCTTAATCAAGGGCACTCCTCGCGTGCCTTACGTCACATTAATGCATTTTTAATCTAATCCAAGACTCTACTTTTCATTATTCATCGTCTCATCAGTATTATCATTCATTTCTCTCTTTGACTCTTATACATTGTTATTGTTCATCAAAGTGCATCGCGCGACATTAATGTTCATTGTCTTTCTCTTTGCTCCAGCGCTTTGTATGTGCGTGTGTTCATTGTACTAGCTCTATGTATGTGCCAGTGTGTCTTCTAAATACAGCGTGTTATCATTATTACTTTGATTTCTTATATCTTTATGATAATTGGAAAGAAAGAGATATAGAAGGATCGCAGTCTCGAATCGAAATTTGCTCTTAAACGGGCCTTAGGCTGGATTAGGATTTCGGGCTGCGGGTCACAGAGGTTCATAGGCTATAGGCTAGAGATCGGCTGTGCAGTGTCTAGAGTGGTGTCTAAGAGCGAATTTCGACGTGAAGGAGTTTTCTTTCGACGTGTCGTTTCCAGTAGTATCTACAGCACACGGCATCTCATTTACTTCTTCGTTCACCAAACCCAAATAACTTTTGCTTTGAATAATGTTTTGGTGCAATACTATTTTTCATGAAGCAAAGCTTTTGGTTTCAATATTTTTAGTACTCAGTGAAACAAACGGTTTTTGTACACAAATCTATAGAACAATGATTATTCTAACAAGATCAGTTGAAATATTAATGATTGTTGTCTCTTAGTCAGTACGTAAATGTTGGATATTTATGGTATCAAGTATAAATAAATAAGTATGTATGCAGAGTAGAAATCATTGAAAATTTAACTTTGTCCTGGAAGCCACGAGGAAAAAAGGCCCGGTGAACAAGTGTATTTTCATACTGAAGGCACCTTTCTATTCGAGTTACTTGATTTTTTTTACAAAACGCAAGATAAACATGTCGTGTAGAGGTATATAACATTCGTGTATGTACACTAGAGTGTGGCGAGAAGTGTCTTCTGCCGCGTTTATTATCATTTTACTTTCACTGTATCGTTTTCTTAAGAAAATTTACACTACTTTGATTTACTTAATACTTTGCATGTATATATTATGTACATGGAAGGTTCACGGCAGCAACACAAGAAGTTGACGCTCATTTTTGTTTGGCGCGCTCGCGAGACCGCTTAATTTACGCGGTCATTTCATGTTACTCTCGACTGTTACAAACACTTTCATTGTTACAAATTGTTACTTTTACAAACAATTGGCTTCATCGGCGAAGGAAAACAAAATAATAATAATTATAGTGATAATCAACAAATGCGTGTATTACAAAATTTTTCTAATTAGTAGGATAAAAAACATTATAGAGTAATAAACAATCGAACAAAAACATCTTAGCAGCAGGAGCCACCCCAAAGTCCAAACTCTGTCACGAGCTCAGAGTGAAATAAGCAAAAAATTTTATCACATTGAAAGTATACAACAAGATCAAACATTGAACCCAATACTCAAGTAACAATCAAAACCCTTGCGTGTCTTGATGGACTTTCGAACGGCGTTTTTGTTATTCATCTTTTTTTTCGAAATTTTTATACTTTTGCAATACGTCGCGAACTGGCATAATATCCGTGACGAATTGCTAGGTATAAATATCGGAGCAAAGGCAAATTGCATTCAACGCAAAACAGCAACCGAAAGACAAATATATATAATATATAGAATATAATAATATATATGACAATGTGACAAAGTAAGAAAGTAAATGATATATGCGCTGTACGTACTGGATTTATTTATTCTTTAACGACACATGTGAGTGGTACGAACGGTATGAAGTGTGCACGTGTGTGTGTGGATGCGTGCGCGTTTTAAAAATTTTCCTATTTTTTTAGTATTCGATGTGCATGTCTGACTGTATCATAGAGAGAATGTAAACTTTTGTAGACGAAAGATCATGAGAAGGATGATTGGATTGAGAGAGAAAGAGTGAGAGAAAGAGAGAGAGAGAGAGAGAGAGAGAGAGAGAGAGAGAGAGAAAGAGAGAGAAAGAGAGAAGCCAGTAATAGGTTTAAAAAATTAGTTTTGTGAAAATGTTCAAGCATTACTGCAATTTGGTAATCAGCAGTAAAAATGTATTTTTAATTATATTTTGAATAATGAGAACGAGCATTAATTTGTTGTATTCACGAATAGGCGGTATTGGAATTGAACAACAATGACATAGTTTAATAATGAAAGTCAACTTTTTTGATAATGAAAAGATAGATTAAAGTATAATTTGAATTTCATTTGATATATTGAATTTCATTTCACATTTCGACAATATTTATTCAACTGGTTCAAAAATTACCCGAATTTCGTCCATTATTTATAAAAATTACTTAGCATCCAATAAATTTATTTTGACATAAAAATGATACTCATAAATGATTTTGAAATTTTTATCTTGAAATCAACTGAATGGAGGGTGTGCAAATGCGTAGATTTTCTTCGGTGCACGTACATACTGGGTCGTTGCTCATATGCGGTAAAGAGTAAAATTGACAATAAGGTCGCGAGACTTTGATAAGAAAGATAGAAGAATAAAGAGAGAAAGAGAGAGAAAGAGAGGAAATTGAATGCATATTTAAATAACTACGGCAAATAGGCAGCATCAAGCGTTGTTAAATTAATTTTCCGTTTATTTTATATAAGTAAAGAAGATTTAAAAATACAATATGTTTTTTGTAAAAAGTTCTGGAAAAAATTTGATATGAAGAACTGCTTGAACGAAAAATGTTTCTTTATATTAATTTTTTTTCGGACTAAAAGTATTCTAGGAACACATCAACTCAGATAAAACAAATTACAATGAATACGACGCAAGGGGGTGCGCAGCGAACAGCAAAGCAGTTGGGTACATGCAGCAAACCCACATGCAATTAATTTGACCAAACCGATATACCATAAATAAATACTCTAAATAACACTGATACATAATTGTCGAAAGACTATGAAGTTAAGTCGATAAAAAAGAATTAGTATTGCATATTATTGAATTTAGAAATTGAAATGAGAGGTTCGATCGTTCATACGCGTATGAATATTTATATATATATATGTACAGAAATCTTTAGATAATGAACACTTGCAAGTATATAAAAAAAGCTTGCACGAAAATCTTAGCAATTGAGATATTGATATAAAACGCGTGTCGCGCAGCAACAAATATATATGCATTGTCGCCCGTCGAAAAATACGCTGCATTATCATCTGCAACCTACAATGACCTTTGTGTCATGTTGTGCGATTGCAGATGTGTCAATGCATTTTGAGTCGAGAGACGATCGATCAGTATATATATGTACAAAAAAAATAGTAGGTATATATAATAACAAACAAATATAGTAATAGTGATAATAATACTGACAATAACAATAATGATAATGATAATGATAATGATAATAATATTGACTGTATACTGTTATATATGTATATATATAATATTAAATATGTATATTTATGCAGAGCAGAGAGAAATACAAGAACAAGAATAATCGATAAGATATCCAAGTTGAAAAAAAAGAAAATGCAAGTTGGCTACTTACCGGGTCGGGGGGTAGCCTGTAGTCGCTGGACATTTCACTGCTCGCGCTCCGCTCCTCCGTTCTCTCCCAGTCCACTTCCTTTTTCAGTGACTGCGAAAGCACAGATTTCACTGGTTTAAACCGTGGCGTGCTGATATCTCGGAATTTTTATTCGTTTTATCGAAATACCAAAATTGAACCGACCATTCCGCAAGTAATTAGCCATTTAACTTTGTGTAAAAATGAGACGGAAGACGTTTCAACGTAATTGAGAACGAGAGTACACGAGACGTTTAGATTTGAAGAAAGCTATAGCAGTAACTGGATAGTAAAAGGACATCGGTAGTTGAAGATAGTGGCTGATCGATACTCACGAGTGGCACTTGCTGAACGGGTGGTAGGCCCGAGGGTCCGGCGAGGGGCTCGGTGCTGTGTGGGGACGGAAGCCGGCTCTGAGGAAGGCTGGGCCCGTGGGCGTGAGGTGTAGCACGACCACCGGTGTTATTGCTGAGACTCATGTCGCTAGGTCCGCTGTGCACGGAGAGCGGGCTGAGTGAGCCCCTAGTCGTGTCGTCACCGCCACCGCCAGCCGGGTTGCAGCTGGCCGGTGAGTCGGAGTCGCGCCTGGATCTCGGCCGGTCAAGCGCCAACGGACCTGGACTGGCCTCCCTCGTCGTCGGTGGCGAGGCCGCCGGCGAGTCGCTCACGTCCACCTCGTCCGCGGAGTTGTCGGCGTTGTCCTGCAGCAGCAGCTGCTGCTGTTGCTGCTGCTGTTGCTGCTGCTGCTGCTGCAGTTGCTGCTGATCCCTGGGACTGTGCTCGCGCTCCTTGTCCCGGTCGTGGTTCCGACTGTCGCGCTCCCTACTCGAGCGCAGGTGCAGAGGACGCTGTTGCGGTTCGACTTCGTGGTCCTGCTGCATCGGTTCCTGCTGCTGGTGCTGCGATGTCGTCGTCGACGTGGCGTTGGTGTTGCTACTATTGCTGTTGGTGTTGCTCGTAGTGCTCGTTGTCGTCGTCGCCGTCGTCGTCGTCACGTGACTGGTGTTGGGCGCGCCGGTGCTGGCGTTGCCGTTGCTATTGGTGGCAGCAGTGGGATGGGTCTGTGGCGCAGCGTTGGAACTGGGATTGTTGGTGCTGGAATTACTGTTAACAGTGCTGGTAACAGCAGTGGAGGTCGCAAGAGCCGCCGCGGTCGGCTGGGGCGAGGGCGATGAAGCGGCGGGCGGGTGGGCAGCGGCCGTGCTGGCCGAGTCGTCGTCGGTCGAGTTGTTAACGACGGCGTGTGCCTGGGCGTTGATGTTGGTCATGTCGGCGAGGCCCTTGACCTTGAGACTTTCGGCCGTCTTGAGGAGGGCTGACAGCTGGCAATATTCAACGTTGACCTCGCCTTTGTACATGAAGTCGACGAGGGTGCGCAGCTCGGTGAAGCGCACGTCCTTCAGGATGACGATGGGGTGGCGGTTCGGGTGGTCGAGGAAGAGGGCCTGGAAGTAAGACGAGCACGCCGACAGCACGACCTTGTGAGCGCGAATGGACGGGCCCTCCGTGCACGCCAGCGTCACGTCCACCAGCGACTCCGACTCCAGCAGCTGACTGAACACACCCAGCAAGTTGCTCTGATGATTGTTCCACCTCAGGCAGTAATGCTCACTTCCCATGTCTGTTCTGCCCACGACCCTGCTGTAACAGCAGAGCACAACACGGCACATTCGACCAATTGCAAATACCACCGCGCAGACCATTATAACTCTCGGCTACTTTCTCTTAGCTCGCTAATGGGTTAATACGCGATGCGTGATGTATGCGCGAGCCTTAATCATATTGCCAGCTCTCGCACACACCTCAACATCGCCGCCGCCACTTCACTCGCTCTGTGCTTTATGAGAGAAATTTTTGTGCGTATACTCGTGCTTTTGTACACCTATTATTAGCTCTACTCACTCTCTATACATCCTATAATTATGCACGCGTTACAACCTATATTTGCAAACAAGATACAAATATTTAATTTCAGCGCGCTGCCATTCTTAATTCTTTAAATTTCGTGAAAGTCAATTTTCAAGCGCGTCTTCATTATCTTTAATATCAAATCATTTTGGCATTTTAGTTTAATCTTTTAATTTTACTGTGCTTGCTTTGGTTTATTCTATTCAACATCGCTTATGAAGGGATTACTGTAATGGTTTTTAATTTATAAAAAGAAATTATTTTGTAAAATGTATTTGAACAATTTTAATGTTTTTAAAACATTTAGTTAGTAATAACCAACTATCGAATGACATTACACTTACTTCTTGTTATTTCTAATGGCGTTATAAATTATTTTCGAAAGTAGATTGTTATTACTTCTCCAATATTTTCCTAATAAAAGAATTATAACGTTGTTTCTAACAGCATTACTCAAAAAATAAGGAGTTATTTTCGAAAAATCAAGTAAAAAAAATTACTTCATTGTGTGAATGAATATAAAGAATGTTTTGGTAAAGAATGTATTTATAAGATTCATTTTGTAATAGTAAAACTGTATCATGGAGGGGCGGGGGGTGGCAAAGTATATATATTATTGAATGTTTTTCCTGTTATTTTTCGGAATTAATTCAAAAATATCAAAAGTATATTGTATTTTTTGTTTATCTTTAGTAATATAATAGTTTTTATATTAATGTAAATAGGATAAAAAAATTATAAAATGAAAAAGAAAACTCGTGAAAGTTATGAATATAAATTTAAAGAAAGCTAAATCATTTAATAATTTTTGACATTTCAATAAGATGTTTGACGAAAAAAAAAAAAATAATAAATATAAAATAAAAGATAGCGGAGTAACGTTAGCTACAATTTTTTAATTTTATCGTGACGCAGATATATACGGAAAGAGCGCGTACAGTAGAATCAACAATGAAAACAAAATCTGTATAATGCAGAGGCGGAGCAACGACGACAGATACACACACACACATATACCCATACGTAGGCGAAACACCTGTTCTGGCTGGATGTGAAGTTAACTGCGGCCTTATCTGTACTTGACTCCAGTGGTGCGCGAAGAGTGAGGGGAGGAGGAGCAGCTTAAGGGAACTCGAAACGACAGCAGTGAACGCGTCGCTCAGTGCCCTGCACATAATGAATTATCAATCGTGTATTACACGTGAGGCTCTGACAATGTGCTACTGCTGCCGCCGTCGTTGCGAAGTGCAGCTACTCGTGTGTGTCTCGGGCGCATAATGCTTTATCTGACGCACTTTCTCACTCCACGACTACCTCCCTCTCACTCTACTCGTCTCGATCGCTCGCATGCGCACCTATGCGCTTCACCACTCTCTCTCTCTCTCTCTCTCTCTCCCTCACGCTCTCACACAATCCTATCTTAACTAACTCGCTCTCGCCTCGCTCTCTTGCCGCTTACCGCTGCCACCGTGCGTGCTTTCGATGTTTTCGCCAATTTATCATCGGCCCGATACGCGCTCGCGCGCTTTTTTTGCCTCGCTGCTACACGCACACACACACACACACGCGCGCGCGCGCGCGCGAAAAGAACATTCTGTTGATATTTTGGCCGACTCTTTTTCTTTCTCCGATGTTCCGCCCCCTTGCTTCTCCCATTCGAAATTTTTGACGACAATATCAATGCAGCAGTAACCACTGTATACTTTTATTTTTTAAACGACGAGAAGTGATTGGCCAGAGCGTCTGTAGCTGCGAAGCGTTCACATCGAGAGAACGTATTTTCTTTTATAGTTAACGTGCGTTGCAACGCGTAAGGCTAGAAAGTACGTGGACACGCTGGATTTGCATATGGTTATTCACATGGAAAATAGGCTTGATGGCGGGGACCATAATTTGCACTATACTGTCTACGCCACTCCAGAGTTTGGCTTGAAAAGAAAGGAGAGAGGAAGTTGTTTTATTTTTAGCGCTTTATTATCAATGTCTCTATGTAATACAAGATTATATTTTGTCAGATGGACATCTATCAAAGAATTTATATATATATATATATATATAGTCAACCGCATGAGATCGAATGATGTATTCGTAAGACATTTGAAGACACGGAATTTATTTAAAAAATATTGGTTTAATTTGAATTGTCAAAATCATGAATCGGAAGAAGGCGAGCACAGTAGAAACAGTCTGCGGAAGCGCGCAAAAATATACAGAAGAGCCGACTTATTGATTCTTACTGTGGCGAGCGAGCGAACGGTTGGTTGCAACGCAGCGCTCGCGTATATACATCGGTGCCCGTTATCTTGCGCCCGTGCGTGTTGCTCTTTTTTCTTCTCTCTTACTCTTTCTCTCTCACTCTCTCACTCTCTCTCTCTCTCTCTCTCTCTCTCTCTCTCTCTCTCTTTCTCTTGCTTTACCTATCTATGCATACTTGCGTTATTTTCTTCACCATTCTTTTTTTTTTCCTTTTTCATACGGCGCCGCTAAAAAGATTTGCCTCGAGCAGCACGCTGCACAGCCCGAGCGCGATGCGTGACCATCGCAGTGGCGGCAGACGGGGCGCATGCGTGCATACTATGAGAACCAAGGCGAATTCGATGGATGCGAGTCGCACGCATACTCGCGTGACACATGCACTCGCGATACACTAATTGCGTGCTTCGATTGCCTCGCTCGATTGTTATGTTGTTGCACACGCGCACGCGCCGACCACGACCACGAAAAAGAAAAAATAAATAAATGAATAAAGAAAAAACACATCCACTCGCGCCATATCGATTTCATCTTTTTCCCTTTCACGATGATCATTATTTTTTTCGTCGTCGTTTCGACAAAATTACGATGGGCATAAAAGGCACATCTACTTTGGGCTATTTAATTTGTCGCTACAGCTGTTTGCTTATGTGCGACCCACTTGGGGCGCGCGCACGTTACATATGTGCCACGATGGTGTGACGATTTACCTGGGGATTTTCCTAAAGCCGCTGACAGGATTTTCGAATACCGAACGTGAGATAAGAATTAGAATTGTTCGCCGCACGATCGTAGCCGGCAAGTTTTGCTCGTGATTCGTTCAATGAATTATCGAATGAATTGACGTGCGTTATAATTGCTATCCGAGCAAACAATTGGAATCGAATGATATACAAATGTACGCGAACTTTGAGTTTCGCGACGGCAGCAATTTGTTGCGCGTGCATTTTCAATGTCTGTTTCACAAAGGGAGGTGCGATTAAAAAGAAAATATTGCAGAGCTTGCGGTTGGGAAATGTCTCGGGTTAAATGATTATTGCTGGTCAGCGTAATGAAAGATGCCGCGAGTTGTATAAACTTTTTGTATATGCATTCAGCGAGTACCTACCTCGTTTTTCTTTCGAAGTCAGATACTGAGAAAAAATTTGTGCAACTGCTTAAGAAAGAGTATTCCGCGGCATGCTTCTGCCTTTAGCACGAGAAAGACTATCTTTACAAAATCTTCTCACATTTGTCTTTCGCAGAAACGATTTACCATATCTAAACATCCCAATTTCGCTCGGAAAACTCGCATTACTGAGATCGTTTTACGCGACGGCTCGTTATTCATCGCGCTAAATTAGGCCAACTTGCTTAATTTCAGTTTAATCGAGCTTCTAGCTACGACAGATGCTTTCTTCGCGCCAACTACACTGTCATTTGCCGTTATTCATCGAACGCCTCGCTCGCAATCGCATGCGCGTCCATTCGCCGAAGGTATGAACAATTCCGCGAGCATTGCGCTTTCTTCGCATAGGTAATTAGCAGCTGAAATCGCGCTCGTTAATAATGCGCGCGCGCTACAAAGACAAGTTAATTTTGAAGTCGGTTATCGATCGCATCAACGAGCGCGTGTATCCAGATTGACGGATAATTCGCGTAACGAGCTGCAACCAAGTTGTCTCTGAAATATTAATTCGACACGTACACGAACAATCGAACAGATTTTTATCTGCAATTATCAGTATACGGCATCCTGTTTGAAAGTAATGTTGCCATTTATACTCGGAGCGCGCAGTTGAAGCTAGCGACCGGCCGTAAATTATTTCATCAAATCGATCAGAGTCGCGTCGCTCTAGTAAATTAATATGGCAGTCGATACAAAAAAAATGTAACTCGCGAGCAGCCAGTGCTCGCGGACAATGAGTATGGAATATGTGGCCAGTGTATAAATCTGTCGTGCAGCGGAGAGTCCAACGGGCTGCTTGTTCGACATCTCTGAATGCGAAAGGGGGGGGGGGGGGGGCGTCAGGGAAGGGATCACGCACAGTGTCGTTCGTGAATCGTGACCTACCACAACGCACAACGAGCGAGCGCGCGCGCACACACACAGACACACACACACACACAGCGAGTCATACATCTTATCTATCGATCTGCTGCCAACTAGTCACGGAAGTTGGATCGCGCTTGGCGCGCGCACAGACACAGACACACGTGAAAACCCGCATCGTACTTACGTCTACAGTGCGCGAGCATTTACAAAAACGACGACATACAATGGCTGTACGCTACTCTTTCATTTAGCTCGAGCTGTACGATGTCTTATATCCACAGCTAAGAGTTGAATCTCTCTATCCCTTGTGAATGTTATAGATCGGTTTAAAACAGTGTCGCTAAAATAGCTGTGGCTAAATCGAGTTATCTATCTAGTATAGTTGAAAACGTATCTTTAAAAAAGAAGTTAGGCCAATCATACGCTAGTTGATCAATTGATGAGC